CAGCAGGGGCTGAGGGAGGGAAGCAGTGAGCTTTCTTCCCCCACTGGGGCTCTGGCCCAGTCTTCCCCCACCCCCCTCCCCAGCATCAGGCTCTCTCCTGCTCCTCCCATCCCCGAGCTCTGCCCTTCCCCCTCCCCCAGTCATTCTTGATGATCAGTTGGCTAGTACCTACGTATGCACACAATAATGGGAAATGTGAATCAGTGATTGCTGTGTTATACGTACTTATTTATATAAGGGTCCAGAGATCTTCAGAAATACAGTAGTACATTGAAACAAGTGGATATACTTTGCCGACATTACTAATTGCTGTTGTTTCATTTTTGTTCATTATTATACTTTTCTATATCTATATTTAACATATATGGTGCATGTTTGGCACTATAGGGCAGGTTTATGCTCATTATTGTAGGGTAGGATTAGAGGGAAGAATTCTTCTTAGAGGGAAGTGTATAATTGTTGTAGTATTTACCTTTAAGACGCAAAGTATTTTCCCATAAGTATTTGCTGGTAGTTGAGGAGCTAGGGGAGAGATTTTTTATTTTATATTTACGAAATATCCTTTTCAGATATTACGAATTGGAAGTAATAACTTGTTAAAATTCAAACTTAAGAATGAATTCTTAACTCCACTTCTAAGACTAAAAGTGATGGCAGAAAACATTTGACAACCACACACAATTAACTGTCATGTTGCCTGAGTTGCTTGATATAATAGTCCATTGTAGTTAAAGGCCAGTTATTCAGATTTACAAGATTTGACTATCAGTTCATCTCTCACTAATACCCGTAGTAGTCTATTGTTGTTGTAATTATATGTTGTTATTAACTGGTCACTCAGGATAACTAACTGGCAAGCAGAGGAGCCATTTTTGTTTCTGCCATTTGCTACCAAGTGAGGAGATTCTTGTTTTTAAAGGTTTATGTACATAGCATATGTGGCTGATGATGCATATCAACTAGATAGACTTATATATTCAGTAAAATGACTCCAACCCCCTCCACCACCCCCAAACAAAAACCCAGCAGCCATAAAAAACATTATTTTTTTTCCAATGTTTTCTGGGTCAAATTTAATTCTAAGATAGGATTTTGAACCTGAAGCTATTCCACTATTTTGCCCATTTAAAAACAAAACAAGGTACTCCAAGCCATGAATTTAACCAAATGTGAAATCTAAAGTCAGGTTATTCATGACAACTTACAAATAATATTTCTCTAGTAAATGCTTAGATTTTTTTCCACTTATCTTCTATTTATATCCAGCCCAGTAGACACAATTTTAACAGTTGTCCCAAAGCAATCTGGAAAAAGTATAATGCCTACATATTTATCACCTCAATGCATTAATGATCATGTCATTGCTAAGGTAAAGAAAATTATTTGAGTACCTTGAATATATGTAACCATGTCTCTGTCTGTTCTGTACAGTGCTGAGCATTTTATTTTCTCTCGACAAACTAAAAATTAATTCTTATTCACATTTTTTCAGGAGCTGGCAAGTTGCGGGTGGAATAAAAAAGAGAAGTACAGTTCTGCACCAAATGCAGTTGCCTTCACAAGAAGATTCAATCATGTGAGTTTTTTTATTATAATTTTAGCAATACAATAGGTATCTATTAACATAAAAAATATGAATAGAATGCTTAATCAATATAGTACTTTAGCTGTTATTAACAGCTAACTACTTGTGTATGCAGTGCGCATGCACATGGCTAGGAATACAGCCCTAGGCAGTGGTGAAGAGTAGCTCCCCTGTTGTTTACAGGTAAGTCTATGGCAGGGGGGATGCAGATTGAGGCCCCCACGGTGAGGGAGGGAGTGGGGCAGGGGCTGGGCCTGTGGGCACTGCTCAGCAAGGATGGTGTATGGGGCTCAGGGCTGGGGCAGAGTGGGGCAGAGTCATGGGGGGAGAGGGAGCTCCCTGCTTCTGCGTGCACTCCTGGGGAAGGGGCATGGGTGGGGCACGTGCCTCCCATTTTTTGTACATGGGGCAGAGATGAATGCAGGCTGTCCACTGCGGGCTCGGAGCTCCCCACCCTGTCCACCTGGCATTTACTACCCTAACCAGTGTTGTGATGTCAAACAGTATTAGGCATGACTTGCACTATGTAACACAAAGGACCTGTTTGTGCCCTCACAACTGCAGGATGCTATTTATTAAGTCCTTGGTAATCGCATACTGGTACTCTTTGGCCTACACGTAGCTGCTGAGGGGTGTCTGTTCCCCTTGGCGTGGCTTGACTTATCTGACAACTCCTAATATGCTGTCACAAGTCCAGTTTTAATAAGCTGAACCATGACCTGTGTTTCTTGACCAGGAACAGCACTGCCAGCATCTCATTTATTGTAGCATGTACTGCATTCTGATATGCTAGCAAGAAGCAGGCCATCTTCTGCTGTTACTGACCCTGTTTCTTTCTTCATGGATAGCAAGGCCTTTTTGAAAGACTGCAATTAAAAAAAAAAACAAAAAAAACCAACAACAAACAAACAACCCCCCCCCCCCCCCCCAAAAAAAAAAAACCAAAAAAAACCCAACCCCCAACAAAACCAAAAACATTTGGCCAGCCCATTTGTGGCCAAGTTGTATGGCACAGAAGTGATATGCCAGATGCCATTTCTCTTCATGGACCTTTTGATACTTATCTGAACTGAGTTGTAGGCCATTACCAGTTGCTACTTTTTTGGCAATCCTGTCCCTGCAAAAACACTTTGAAATTTTTCTGTTGTTTGGGATGCTTTAATGGCTTTCATACAGAAAACATATGGTCATTTGGAATGCACTTCTAGGCAACTAGATGCATCATTCCTAAAAACGGTCCTGCAAAATCAATGTGGAGCCACTTGCAGAGAGTAGTTCCAATTTGGGCAGAGTCTGTATCTGTTGACATCCCATATCCCTAACAAGGTATTGTATTTGTTGGTCAGTACCTGTCCACCATACAAAGCTTCTGGCTAGTGTCTTCATTTTTACAACTAGTAGGTGGACTGTGTGTAGCACTTCTAAAACTCTTGTACGCAGTTTACTTGAGTAACACAAATCCCCAACATAATGCATCACTGATGTATAGACAGTTCATCTTTGCCCTCATAAAAGGTGCTAAATTATGGTTGTCCGTATATTTCCAGCCTTCCAGGATGGCTTCATATACCTGTGCGACCGTGGGATTTTATTTGGTTTCTTGTCCAATTGTACTATAGGTCACTAGGGTATATACCAGCTGAAATAAGTTAATAGTTTCAGTAGATTGTTTCTGCTACAGAAAGCTGAATCTTTGTGCAGTTATCAATGTCTTGGGTGCCAGATGCTCTTGAGCAGTTTTCACAATTTGGTTTGTTGGCCTTTCTGGGCTGAGCAGGTCGTGCAGTACACTGTTTTTCTTCCCATCAGATTCAATAATTCGGCTACATGTTTCTGTGGGGGAATCCATTTATTTAAATTTAAAAAAAAAAAAAAAAGGCTCTAGCTTCTTTGTATCTGTAGGCCAGTCTCCCAGAGTGCTGTCATAAGCTCCAACTGTTCCAATATTAATGACCATTTTGGGTTCCAACAGATTTCAAATACTCACAAAGCAGTTCTTTAGGTTGATTCAATGCATGCCCCTCTCATGCAATCCCATCTTCATCACCAGTTGTTATATTTGTCCAGGAGCATTTGATATTCAATGACTGTAGCCACAAGTGTGGGAAGGAGTGCTGCCAGGCTGGCAAGCACAGAATACATAGTAAACACAAAGTAAAGATCTACATCCATTTCCATTAACAGATTCAACAAAAAGTAACTGTAGATTCTCATGTACACATTCAATGCATTCATGTCTCTCAGTAACAGTGAAACTACTTTAAAGCAAAATTAGTGTAGCGATAATTTGCATAGTTGTTGCTGTTTGATTTTGTTAAATTTGTTTTTTAAATAAAAGAAACTGATGAATAAGGCCATATTATTTTTCTGTCAAAGTGTGCTGTACTTTTCGTTTTATCTGAAGCTCAAGGAGAAGGGCTTAATGTATAAAAACAATTCCTTATAGAGTAGACATATTTTCCCATCTAAAAGCATTTAGGTTCTGTGATGCATGCAGTACTATGTGTCCTCAAAAACATGGAGCTGGATTATGTCAAAATGGTTATGTTCAGAGAAGACTGTTGACAATGTGGCTAGATGGTTATGTGCTGCAGTTAATCCCAAAAATAAAAGGGAATGGAAATCTACTGACCTCTGAAAGCAGTTGCCTGAAGCTTAGGAAAAAAAATCCTATTCAGCCAATCTGATTGCATAAGACTAAATTGCTAGCAAGTGTTTAGTTTTTCTTTCAGTGGAAATGATCAGTGAGAATGTATCCACTTCAGGCATTGAAAGTCAGTTTATTTTCTTCAGGTGGCAAATTTATATATTCAAATAAGCTAATTCTATGCCACTTCTCATTCTCTGCATATTCTTGTGTTTATATGCTGACTGATAACACAAGGTGCATGCACACAGCAAAAGAAATAGAGAAAACAGGCAAAAAAATCACATACAAGAAACTTAGATTTCTACAGTAGCCAGTGAACTTCTACTGCAAACATGTTAGCAAAATTCCACTTGGCCAGAAAACATCACTGACAAATGGTTTATTTTCTACCTGTGCACAAATACATGATTTTATTAGAACCTATAGAATCATAGGAAAGTAGGGCTAGAAGGGACCTCAGGCCAATCAAGTCCAACCCCACGCCCAAGGCAGGAACATCCATATCCAAATAATCCTTTGCAAGTGCTTATAACCCTTTTGCACAACTACAAGACGCATAGCTCAAAAATACCGAGAACACCTTCATCTGCCACATGCAAAGCAGGGAGACACGGGCAGTATCAGTATCCCACCATGACACGAGGAGTTAATACATTTGAGAGATCCGAGGAAAAGGACCCACTACAGAAGAGCCTCTCCTCCCCCTTTCCCCAAAGTCTGGACCAATTTACTGGAGTAAAATTCTTTCCTGCCCCCAGATGTGATTGATCTCATCCTAAGTGGTGGGGCTAAGCCCCTAACCAGGAACCCTCTGGGTTGTAGCATGAACACCGTGTGCCCCTGGAGGCTGCGGGGCACGGTGAGCTCTTGCAGGTGGCAGCAGGAGTGTGACGGTGGCAAGCGGTGAGCTCCTGCAGGTAGCTGTGGCGCTGTTGGCGGGGGCGGCGAGCGTCAACTGGCAGTCGGTGACCACCCCCACCTGCAGCCGTCGTTGGCAGTGGCCAGCGGTGATCAAGGACTGCCTGCAGATGTCGGTGGTGAGCAGCGACCGCCCGCAGGTAGTGCCGGTAGTGTCAGCAGCACCTTTTTGCAGGGGGTGCACCACCAAGCTTGGGGGTGCATGTACACCTGCATGCACCCCCTATGCGTTGCCAATGGGTTTCAGTTCCAGTAGGAGCCAGTGGCACATCTCATTCAAAATCTGCAGCCTCAACTGCAGTCAACATCCAATACTTCTGAGGAAGGGGAAAAAAAATACCCTTTCACCAGGATGGGAAAAATTCCTTCCTGATCCTATGTCGTAACCACTTAAGTCCAGAAGCTTGGGAAAGTACAATCACCTTCCACTCTGTTCTGCAACCTGAGGACAGCAAACATGTCCTACCTCCTTTCTGTCACCATTTCTCCCCCATGAATTTATCCCAGACCCTTTAATCTTCTTTTGTAAGTAACTAAGCTGGTTGTAGAGCTCTGCTTCATTCTCCAGCTGCTGAGCATTGTCCTCTCTGATATCCACCTGCTCTGAGCTGCAGAGCTCTTCTCATGATCTCCCAGCACGGAGCAGGGAGTGGTCGTCTGTGTTCAACTTATTCTCTTAGCACTACATTCCAGGCATTGCTTAATATTAAATGTGGGTTGTCCAGCTGGTGGCCTGTTGCCCGCAAGGGATTAACTTATGATGTGCAGGCTCCCACCCAGCCACTGTCACTCCATTTCTTTGGTTGTAGCAGCAGCCAGGACTTCCTGGCTCTCCCTCCTTCCTCTGGGTTTTGCTTCTTGCCTCTCTTCCAGGGGCAGCAGAGTCCCACAGTGCTGGGGGAGCCCTGGACCTATGGTGCAGCAGGGGACCCTTTGGCCAGGGGGCTGAGGATGAGGGACATTGCTATCATGTCCCCCACTTAATTGCCTTTTCTGCAAGATGAGTGCCTAATTCCTTCAACCTTTTTTTTCATATGACTTGCTTTTTGTAACCTGAATCATTGTTGCCTCCCATTTCTGGACATTTTCTAACTTCTTCATATCTTCTTTTTTTTTTTTTTTTTATTCCATATTTTATGGAAACCTAAAACTGCACAGTAGTCTAGATGTGGTCGGACTAGCACTAAGCAAACAGGAACCATCATCTCCTGCATCTTGTTCCTGTTGATACAGCCCAAAACTACATTAGCCTTCTTTGCAGTTGCATCACACTGCAGACTCTCATTGAGTCTGTGATCCACCAGGAATCCTAGATCCTTCTCTATAATGCCAATCCAGGCAGTTGTTACCCATTTTGTATTTGTGGTTTTGATTATTCTTTCCAAGGCATAGTACCTTGCATCTGTCAGCATTGCACTTTATC